GGACAATTTCTGATTAAACATTTATTATGTTTATTAAKACAGAAAATATCACAAAATATCGATAAAATTTATAATGTATATGTTTTTAAAAGAAAGAAAAAACATAAATTGATGCTCTGCATGAAAGAAAAGAGGCTAACAAATGAAAATAAAGTTAACTTTTCTGCAAAATATGAGGAGTTCACAACAAAATCAATCGTGAGTTTTGTTTCTCACGTTTTCAGAGTTCATCTTTTCTATTGATGCAACAACAACAAAACAGAAGCAGCTTTTTCTCAAAGTCAGCATTTCAGTCAAACGAAAACCTCATCAACGAAGACATGCAGGTGTTTCGAACATGCTTTCACCTTTAACGAATCCACCTTCTCTTTGGATAATTGCTGTGTCAGAGTTATGACTTTGTTAGCATGACTCTGCGCCTGATTGCACATTAAGAAAAAAAGTTCACCTAGTTCTCTTAGTGCAGTGGAATGCAGTRGTTTTAATTGATGGTAATTACACCTGTGATGGATGGAGAACCAATCAGCTTTTTGTCAGATTTTCATTGCAAATTTAAAAAAGCAAACACTGAGTTTACTTAATTTTTAGCTTTACAAAATTTGTAATTTATTTGGGATATATCCTATTTTATATTTTTAAATACTACGAYAACAAGAAGAGTATAATGGTAGAGGTCCTCAGATTTATTTTGTCATCATGGAAGAAAACCAAAGTAATCTAAAACTGGGAAATGCAGGGGTAGATCGTATACTTACAGAAGTATGAGGATGTAACAAAGGTGTCAGTTCAAGAAAACACTTAAAAACAACAATGAAAAACTTCTGTTTCTTTTTGTCACATAATGAAAACCCACGCCGCCTCCTGAAGCATGTTTTCTCATGTTGCTTTATTGTTTATTTAAGTCTAACAAACACACAGAATTGCTTTCAATATGATTCTGATTTTTAAAACTAAAAAATGGCTGTGGAGGCTGAAAATATGTATATGAAGCAGTTTTTTAGCAGTCAGGTCAAAGATTTTGTTCAGTTTTCTTAAATATTTGATTTAAATACTAAAAATAATACTCAAATCTGTTATAGAAGCCAAAGTAACATCTGCATTGTGTTTGTATGTTGACTATCATTGTGTTTTTAATTTGTTAATATTGATTGGGTCTGTCTACAGTATTTATTTTTTAAATCAGAAATACGTGTGGCAGTACTCACCAACAAAATTCAATCAGGCTCCAGAATTTCCGAGAAGGCCCATCTTTGATGCAAATGTAAAAGTGATGTTGATATAAATAAATAAGTCTAATTAGTCTTTTTTTTTAGATATATCATGTTACTTTTAACATTTCAATATTTTGTAGTTTTCACATTTAGATATTTATATTTTGTATAATAAACACAACATAAAAATAAAATTACAGTAATACCATTTGTAACACTGTACTTTTCTTTTAGCAGTTTTTGCAATGTAAGAATTGGTTATTGGTGTGCATTTCTCTTATTGTTAAATTGTAATTTGTTAAATTAAGGATAACCATTATTTAAAAAAATGACTCTCAAGTGGTCCGCAAACCTGCACTTGATGATTATTTATTATGAGGGCATTTTTACGTTCATTACACATGAACATTTTTGATTTCCTGATGGTACATTCATGGTACAAGACCACCATGGCTGTAATTGAAATCAAACACAAGCTGAATTTAAAAAAATAAAAAAACAATTAATTTAATTTAGTTAAAACTAACACATTTTATGTCTTTTTACGCTTATTTTCTAAAAGGAGGGGTATAGAAAGAAACATTTAAGCTAGTTTAATTTGGAGCCCAGAATTACCAGTTTTTGCTTGTCCTTGAACGCACCATACCTTTTATGGACGTGAAGTGAAATTTCCAACTTTGTATCTGGAAAGTCGATTAAGAAAACAGGAAGCCGACTTAACTTCTGACCGTATTACGCGGAGGTAAGGTGCATTCAGTAAAGTTTTGACAAATATTTTGTGTTTGTGACGCTACAACTTCATGTAAACACGGCAGGACGCGCGCGAGGCGCTCACCACCTTCTGCACAAATAGCCATTACGTCACAAACCTGAGCAACTGGAAGTTAAATACGGACAATTAGCAGCAGGTAGGTGATGTGGAAAAGCTGAGGTGGTGTTACAGTTCACGTGAGTATCACCTAAGGACCCTTAACACCGTGTTTCAGGAGGATGAGTTTGTGTAATGTCTATGTTCATAAGAGGAGTGGTCAAAATATAATATTTTATTAGTTTCAACTTCCATTTAATAKACAAATGAACCAAAGGAAAGTACAAAATACTATTACACAAACACATATTTGGGTTATTTAGGTTTAGGTTAACCATGTAATCAGTCTCATTCTGTTATTGCTTCTGAGTGTATTTGCTCCCAATTCAATTGCATGTTCTTGGCTTCCTGACCATGAGACCAGCTGTGCCATGCCTTGGATCAGGTCCAGTGTGCATGTGCAGAGTAACCAAGCAAGGTTTTGGATTGTTTGAGTTGGGTGAGATGTGGGCCGGGGGGCCACCTGCCACAGGGGCTTGCCCTGAGCGGATATCCAAACTTGCCTTTTAACTGGAAGCCAAGTTGTGGCTCTTTCATGTGGGCCTGATCTCCTTAAGACGTGGGCAAATATTGAAGAAGACTCTGCCCAGACTCAAACACATCTGTTGTCATGTAGCCTCCACTGTTCGGCACAGACAGGGAGACAGAGGGAACAACAGTGGGTCTGTTGCATTAGCTCCTGTGTGGACACAGAGCTATAGTTTATACTTTGCAAACACAAATGCTCAGTTTTGAGGAGCTTAGGCTAACTGTGTTCCTCTGTAAACAAATATGGGGCTGTGTGAAACTTAGTGCTAGATCTGTTCTGACATTTCATATGCCTCAGTCATGTCGCAGAATCAATCAGAAGTATTTTGGGATTGTTKTGGACAGTTGTGYTGTAGAATTAGGCTAGATTATGGCATTAAGTATAGTTTTCAAACACTTGGACCTATGCGAGAACTCGGAGAGGAGTGTGCTGTATACAAGTCTTAAAAGCAGACAAATTGCCTCGCAAATGCAAATAAATCATCAAATATACAAATCAACAACAAACAGACTTACAAAACAGTCTGCTGCGCTGTGAGCAAACATCTCACTGTTTCAGTGTCTGTTTAGGCTCTCCCTGCTCTGTCTTCATTTACACAATATTTGCAGTCAGACGTTTGCTGATCTCACATAACCGCCGTCCATCAAGAAGGACTTGGGAAGGACTCAGCTGTTAGCAGTGGCTTTCTCACCGTCACTGAAACTCGACTCGTGTGACCGGTACGGCTAGTTTCACCAGGTGTCCCTCCTCCACCAATCACTTGTTGTCTGGGCGAAAACACATCCTCTTTTTCACCATAGTTGGAATGCTTGAGGTGTTGGAAGAATTACTCATTGAACCAGTTGGCAACAAAGTTACTGTGGGGTTGAGGCGAGCAGACGTTCTGGTCAGGTAAACTGAAGATTTAGTTAYTTTTTGGCCTTCATTCAGCTTGAAGGACACACGATGTGTTGTCATTTTTTTTTAACAGATGGTTTTTGAGATTAAATAATTGATTTGAAAGTAATGTTCAGATCTTTACGCCATAGTTACCAACTATTTGTTTTGTGAAYGTAACCAGAGGAGAAAAATGTTTTGTTTGCTTTTTTTTTCATCTCTTTGAAAAAAAAAAGTTGATTGTATGTGGTACCTACTTATATCCTGGCCGTCAACAGCGACATCCTTTGTATTACTTTTCCATAATGAAGTTCTTTCTTTACTTTATTTTGGAAACTACCAAACATCATTACTGTAAACTACTCTGAAATACAACAAGAATGTCTGATTTAAGATTTTTTTTGTTTTGATGTAAGTCTATGTAACATCTGGTAATAATTATCAGTAATACTTTTAAATATATTGCACATTTGTGTCTCTTTTAGTATTTTTATAACGGTGGACTGACCACTTTACACGAGTAGAAAATCAAGCTATTTCACCATTGTTTCCTCTGTGATAGGTGTCACTCAAGATGGAGCCTAAAAAAAGGACATTTATGGATAATTTTCGTTTAAAACCCAAGCTACTCCACGTTAAGAAGCCGCGTAAAAACAAGCCACTTGCCAAGCAGSCGAGGAATTTGGCCAACCGACGCAGTGTTTCAGTACCAGACCTAACATGTGTCCCAGGTGAAGCAGATTCTGCGCTGAGCCCCTTTCAGTCGACAGCTTGCGATGCCGTCGAATTTCTCTCCTCTCGTGGCATGAGTGACACGGATTCTGTTGCGAGCAGCTCCACGTCCGATGGCTCGGTCTTCCCGAACAAACTCGGAGATACTTTCACAGAAATCTCGTACAGAGTTCCTCAGATGAACCACTCCGTTGCACCGGTGAACCGACTCAGTATGCCAGTGGAGAACTTTTACGAGGACATGAACGGCGTGAGACATTCAAGCTCGGAAAACAAAGTAGCCTTCCTCGACGAAGGCCTTTACCTRCAGTTGGATAAAAAAGGCAACAAAAACGCACCGAAATATACGTTTGAACCTGCCACTAAAACAGGGGATGAACTGCACCTGGACCGTACAGAGCGAGCGAGTCTGCCTGATATCACTCCAGCATGCAGTCGGTCTTCAGAAACTGTCGATGCTTTCCTGATCCGAGCAAGCTCGCTGGGGAACGAGAAGCGCCCTCAGATAATTAAGAAGACGCCGCTGACTGAGCCGAAACTCACGTCACTTGAAAAAGGACCTGTACAGTCCGTCAGCAAAGACTTTTCTGAAGAAATGATGTCTCTGATAGATAATCCGGATGAGGTTGCGGATGTTTTGTCTTCATCCTCCGCAATTGACACTCCCATGGAGGAACAGATCAGCACACAATGGATATTAGAGGACGACGAGGAAGAACTGGAACAAGAGTCGTCGTCCTCTCTGATGAGAGACTTCTGCATGGATGAGGGACTAGAGCTGGAGGAATCTCTGGAGGAGGTTAGTTCTTGCTATAGATTTAACTTCATACCAACTCTTAAATGGTTTTAAATCACTTATAATCTTTTATATGTTGCCTATGAAGAGACAGACTTTCTTGTACTCTTTTRAAGTGGTCTTGATGTAAAGTTTTTCAAGCATTATTAAGTCTTTCTAAATTTTCTTYTACATTTTCAATTTTTTTGCCTGATTATAAGTGCATACGGTGCTTTCTTTTTATAATGAGGAAAGTGGAGAGTGTCAGACATTTTTTTTGGGGGGGGGGGCAAAAACAGTAGGTGAAAAGAATCTGAAAGTTGTTCTATTAGAAAATTTAGCAAATAMCCGACAAAGGACCTGAGAGATTTGTCATCCTTTGGTTGATCATCTGGMAACGTTTCAGCTAATAGCTGGTTTGGAATCATCAAGTTTGTGCAAAAATGTTGTTTGCAGTTAAACCGTGTTTTTTATTTCGTATTTTTCATATAATCAAAAAATGATCTGGGGTCAAATTTAGTATTTGTGTCGAACCGCTCGTGAAAGTGATGCAAGGTCAGTTAAAATAGCTTCTTTGCTAAGCTGTCTGACACGCTGAATATGCTGACACACAGGTTCTCCCTTGAGTTTAGGAGTTTTGTGCCTGAATTATTCATTGCTCAGAGATAAGTATCACAGGTTTTTTCGCACTACTTTATTTTTGAAATGCAACTTTTGTAGGCTGGTGTTTGTTGTAGTGACCACCAAAGGTTAGACTTTGTCCTGTTTGTCTACATGTCCAGATGTCTGTTAGAAACAGTGCAGGAACAACTGAAGAACCTGTGTTTCAAGTCAGTTACACAATGTGGTCTGAACTGCTTTACAAAATAAACACAGTTGTTGATAAAAATCTCCTTTAATGGCAACATAGGTAAACACTGCAGACACACTGTGCCCCTAAAAAAGATTATTTAATGTGATAAAACAAAGCAGACAATAAAGCTCATCTTTAAATCCACCTATAAAGCTAATGCAGATTGTATCTTTGAGGAACGTACTGTACTGTTGACATTACAATATTTTCTTTTTCTTTCAGAATTCTGCTGAAGCTTGTGAAGGAGAAAATTCGGCCGAAGCCTGCGAGGGCGATGAGCTCGACGAAAACGACACCGAGCCGATCGAGGGCTCCGTGAGTCTCCATTCACTGAAATAAGCTGAGCAGTTGATGTGAACCAGTTTGTAAATGTGAACGGGTTCTTTGCAGGACATTCTGTCAACAAGCCAAGGCCCGGGTGCCCTGGTTCCTTCCCCGCTTCAGAGGTACCTCCTCATCATCAACCTGAAGGATGGACAGAACCTGGTCATCAGAGACAAGCGCTCTGGTAGGTTAGCAATCAACCGCTAAAGCTCCAGAATGTTCACAAACATATAAATGTTGTCTACTTTAGACTCTTACAAACTTAATTCATCTTTCAGCAGTTTATTTTTTTATTTTTTATTTTTTGACTATCGGCTTTTTTAAACACGCTTAGCTACAGCTAGAGGTTCTGTTACAGGCTTTAGACTAAAGGAAAGCAGACTTTTTGCCACTGTTGAAAGTTGGGTCTTTGTGGGTCTTTGATGAAACGCTGCATGTGAACAAAGTGTGTGTTGATTTTGTCAGTTTTCTTGTACTTTTAAGGCCATAAGACAAAAGAGTTGACATGTGGTAATATGTGCTATGAGCAAATCGGGCGTGCTGGTAATGCTATTTTGTTGCAAGGGTGACATCCCTTCTTTAGCAATGTGCAAAAAAAAAACATTTAGAAAAGTATGTGGTTAGACCAGTGTAGCAAAAAAGACAGGCTGTAATAAACTTACACATCTTTTTCAAAACATACGCTCAGTAGATGAAACTATTTAAACAACTGTTTTTAATAAGTGTTAAAGTAAAGAAATTCAATTTATCTCACAAAAAATGTCATCTATTATAATCAACAGTTACAGGTTTTTATTAAAGGAGATATGTCATGCTTTTAAATCCTTTCCCTTTTCTGAAGTGTTCCTCCGATCAACTCGTTTTGATGCTGTCTCTTTAAATCCAAATGAGGTGCTCCCCCCGCAGCTTCCAAAGAGGGGTTTAAAACCATACAGCGGCGCAGAAACTTTAATTTACAAAGTAATTAAAAGATACCAACAATGGAGAACTTCTCTTTTTCCTCACAATCTATGTGGGATTATTTAAGGCCAGGGTCACATTTAACWATCCTAAAATTTAGATTACCAGTAGATTTATATTCATATTCTGATGAAAAATAGTTTATTTTAAATTAGGTAAGACAATTGATCATGTATTTTAAAAGAATATTTACAAAAATCCTTTTAGATTCATTTCATGGCCACATTTTTGAAATTATTTGAGGCTTTGTAAAATGGTTTCATATTTAGAATGATATTAATCCATGAGTGAGAGACAGAATTTTTTTTTTTTGTGAAATGTTTTTGTACAATTTCAAGCTCTTTCACAAATACCCATTGAAAGTATTTAGTTTGCTTTGGGAAAGCAGCACCCTCTTTTGGCCAAAACTGAAATTACAACATTCTGAATACCTGTGTGTGTGTGTGTGTGTGTGTGTGTGTGTGTGTGTGNGTGTGTGTGTGTGTGTGTGTGTGTGTGTGTGTGTGTGTGTGTGTGTGTGTGTGTGTGTGTGTGTGGTCTCAAACAAGACAGTTTATAGATGCTTACCTTGGCAAGTGCTTGTATTTGATTAAAAGAAAATCTCAAACATGCTTTAGAACAATGTTCGATGTATTTAAATGTAAGAACATTATATGTCAGCATTTCAGAGATGCATGCAGAATTAATTTGTAACTAAAACCCTCAAAATGAATCACTTCTTTATCATAAATCTTGCAGCTTTGAGCATCTCTACAGGATATTTAATTATGCTGTTTTTTTTAAATCACGTTTGGTGAAAAAGAGACCCTTTAAGCTCAGTGCCCTCTGTTAGTTGAGACCTTACACTTTCTGACAAGATGGCACAAAGATAATGCAATGCCCACACACACGCCCCTTGTCTCTCCACTGTTTGCCCAACAATCAGCCCTGTGCCAAAGGCCCACCAATGGCATACACTGTCATTACATATTCTGAAAGAACCCACACCACCAGCCCCCCGCTCCTTAGGGTTTTTTGTTCTCTCGTTTTTTTTTTCTTCCCCCCATTAATTTCCATCGTCACCATTCTCACTCATGCCAGAGCTTTTTCTCCTTGCTAGCTGCCACATTCTCCTCCTGTCAAGTTGCCTGGAGGTTTCCCTGTCACGGGCTGGCAGGGTGGAGCTGCTGTGGGTCCTGCCTGCCTTTTGCGAGATGTTCATTTGGAGTGGGGAGCTGACAGGCCTGACAGCCCATCCCCACAGGGCCTTTGTCATGTGATTCAAGCCTCCCCGCAGGCTCTCTCAAGCACCCCTTTATTCCCCCTATACAAATGAAGGCATGGGGGCTGGCTTTCATTTTTTTTTTTTTGACCAATCTGCGTGCAATTGCAGAAACAAAGAAGTCCGATACCCCCACCCCGCTCACAGACAGACTTTCTTAACAGGCTTGGGAGATTAACACTGGTTGCTTCTAGATTTTGGCTTCTGGTCGCTTCACACTGGCGAGTGTTTCTCCTCTCTGACAATTAAGCAGCTACTTTCCTGTTTATGCCATGTGTGGGGTGTACACGCCCTGCCCACATATAACAGTATCTCACACAGTCATCATGGGGGGAAGGGTGTGTATGATTCTGTGCATTGATTTTTACATTGTAAAAAAACTTAAAAAGAATCCTCTCCATCACACGTTGTCCTTAAATCACACACGTTGTACATTATTTTTTAAGTCATAGGTCGTTATCGTATTGATTTGCTTTTTTTATTTGTTGTATTTCAGGCACAAGTGATCCATATGTTAAATTCAAACTCGATGGAAAACAAATCTACAAAAGCAAAACGGTTCACAAAAACTTGAATCCTCGATGGAATGAGTCTTTTTCTTATCCGCTTMGAGACAGAGACCAGCTTGTAGAAGTTCGGGTAGGCATTCTTTGTTTAAATATAAGTGCATTATCTTGGAGTAATTTTTTTTTGTTTAGTTAAAGTGTCTTTCAGTTGAGTTTGGACATGTTTACATGTGGCATTTGTTACACTTTTGCAGGTCTACGATAAAAATCTCACCTCTGACGAATTCATGGGTTCAAGTACTATATCTTTGAGAAACCTCGAGTTGCAGAAGTGGGTCCTTGACATTTATTTTTGTCGAATATTTCAGTGAGTAAGTTGTCTTAAAGATTCCTTGACTGGTCGTGAGTTTGAAACTTTTTGTCTTTCCACAGAACCCAAGAGTTGGAGTTGCATCTCACCGATCCAAAAGGCAAAGAATTCGGTTTGGGAGTCATCAGAGTTGACGTCTGCCTCATGTTTAGGGATGCCACCATCAAAAGAGGCCCTGTATGAATTTTTCTAATTTAAAAAAAGAAAATCTTTGTGGACAAAATGATTGGTTTTTATTAAAGCCTTTGATCTAATTATTGCTTCACCTTTATATTTTGTAGAGATTTCGTCCCAAAAAGAATAAGGTATGATTTTTTTTTCAGTCTAAAACTTCCACATTGTGTCCGTAATCTATTTTCTGTGTAACTTTTTCATTATTTAGCAGTGCTTATATTTAGCTTCATGTAAAACACTAGGGGGCAGTAGCTCACTATGAAATGGAGGAACAAAGACTACAAKTTTATCCTGAGCGCCTGATTTTTTTGTGTGTAACACTGTTTTCAGGGTAGCTTATATCTTCTGTGCATTTATACTT